TGTGTGTGTGTGTGTGTGTGTGTGTGTGTGTGTGTGTGTGTGTGTGTGTTTGGTTCAACTTGAAGATCTGCCTGTGTCTGTGGGAGTGTGAGTAATTGTGTTGGGTATCTTTTTGAGTTTTTCCCACAACAAATTTGGAGACCCTCCCAGGGACTCAAATGCCTGCTCCCACCCACTCTGCTGTGTCCCTGACCTTAAATTTGCTTCTCTTCCCCACACTGGAGAAGGCTCCTTGGGAGGCATGCCACAGTGTTCTCCTTACGTGAATGCTCCCCACTCCCCCGCCCCCAAATGGGACGCCTCCGTTTTCTCCCCAAGGTCTGGGCATGCAGGGGGCTGGGCTCTGGGGAGAAGGCATAGTGGTTTACGCTCTGCCATCTTTCTCTCCACAGGTGGACGAAAACAGAGGGAGGTGCCCCTGCTAAGTAAGTGTATCTTCTCCCCCCACCCCAGCTGGCTGTGCTCCTTGGGGATGGGGGGTATCCGGGACCGAGGGGGAGGCAAAGGGCAGCTTTGGATAAAAGCTTGACTAGGCAACCAGACCTTTTGCCTTCTGCCTCTAGCTAAAGGCCAGCGTCCAGGCTTGTCACCTCCCCTCTGCTAGGACCAGAACAGCAGGGATCTGAGGACGTGGACAGAAAGCTGAGTTTTATTGGAGGCAATGGCAGTGGGGCAGGGGGTGTTTAAATGATCTTTTCTACCCCAATCCTGGCTTCCCTGATTCTTGTTCTTGCTCTTTTGGTGGGCTTCTCTGAATACTATGGCTGGGCTAGACCTCCGCGTCAGAACGTGGAAGCCGAGGTCTGAATTCTGGGCATGGCCTGGGACCTTTTGGTTGATGCTTCCACCCATTCAGCATTTCCTAAGTTCCTCTGAGGAACTCAGCCCTGCGAGGATTCAGGCCAACCAGGAGGCCGACTCTGCCCCCAGGAGGCCTGACATTGGCACAGTGGATAGGACACATGTATAAACAGCACCAANGAGTTGGTTCCTCCTGGAGGCTTTGAGGGAGAATCTGTTCCAGGCCTTTCTCTGAGCTTCTCATGGTTGCTGGCAATCCTTGGTGTCCCTTGGCTTGGAGATGCATCTCTCCAGTCTCTTCCACCGTGTTCACATGGCGCTCTCCCCTTGGGTCTCTGTCCCTTTCCCTCCTCTTATAAGGACACCAGTCATGTTGGCTTGGGGTCCCCTCTAATCCAGCATGACCTCAGCTTAACTCGATGACATCTGCAAAGACCCTACTTCCAAAGAAGGTCACATAAACAGGTACCGGGGGTTAGGACTCCAACATATCTTTTGGTGGGGATACATTTCAACCCATAATGCTTTCTTTTTTTCTCCTTCTCCTTTAGACAACAGCCCCGAGACCCGGGCCAAAGTAAAATTTGTCCAGGACACTTCCAAGTATTGGTACAAGCCCGAGATCTCTAGAGAGCAAGGTGAGTGCTGGGGGGCACTGGGGTTCATCGGAGGTCCCAGCTGGCTGCTGCTCACTGCGTCTTCCCCGGGCAAGGAAGTGAAGCAGACCCCTTCCTCTTTGTAGTGGGTGGTGGTCGCAGACGGGCTGAGATCAAGGTGAGGCAGGAAGAGCCAGTCCTGGGGTGACGCGTGGGGAGCAGAAGCAGTGGTCGTAGATGCTTCTTTGAAGGATTCTTATTAAAAGCAGCAAAGTCTTGGTTTTCTGGGCAAAGTAACAGCCCGTCCAACGTAATAAGAAACCTTAGCTTTCCCTCTGCGTGATGTGGGAGGTTTTTGCACATGTTACAGAAAAAACAGTTGGGATTGTGGGGGATAAAGATGAGGCCTGCCTCAGGTCCCCGAGGAAAGTCTGTGTGGATGTAGGACAGGGCACCGGTGACTGTCACCCACCGTCAAATCCAGGTTGCTTTTGTGCAACAATGGCGGAGCCGAGTGGCTGCAATAGAGACTACATGGCTTGTAAAGCCTGAAATATTTACATCTGCCCATTTACAGAAAAAGTGCGCCAACTCTCGTATAGCAGGACCCTTCCGAGCATTTGAATTCTAACTTTAAAGAATCGCCTGTCACCTAGCAAAGAGTGAGGTTCGAGAGGCCTTAAGCAAAGACTTAAGTAAAGGCAGCGCCTTCTGTTTCTTCTCCCCTCCCGATTCAGCCATCGCACTCCTGAAGGACCAGGAGCCAGGGGCCTTCATCATCCGCGACAGTCACTCCTTCCGAGGAGCCTATGGGCTGGCCATGAAGGTGTCTTCTCCCCCTCCGACCATCATGCAGCAGAATAAAAAAGGTAACACTGTCTGCTCAGCGATCTGTACCGTCTCATAAAACTCCGAGGTTCTGGAAGGCCTGGGGGCTGGACAGGTCTCTAATTCTCATGGGAGCTGGTCCCTGCTAAATTAGACTCTTCAGCAGAGCGAGGCATGGGCTTGGTGGTGGTGGGGGTCAGAGAATAAGGATGCCATGTTGTTGGGACTCTGTGATTGTTTCCTTGAAGGCTGGGAGAGGAGTGGTGGTCTCTCCATTCCAGGGTGCTGGCCACATTATCTCTCCGAACCTTTCTCCCATCATCTGCTCCCGCACACGGGCGAAGCCACGCAGCGGTGTTGGGAAGTGGTTGGAGGATGCCATGAAAAGTGACCCATCCTCATTTCTTTCTCTTCATCCCAGGGGACATGACCCATGAGCTGGTGAGACATTTCCTGATAGAGACCGGCCCCAGAGGAGTCAAACTCAAGGGCTGCCCCAATGAACCAAACTTTGGTGAGCTCTCCCCCTACCTCTGTCTCCACATTCTGCCTGTGGGGTCTCAGGCCTATCCCCAGTGTCCGTGCCACAGGTTCTGCCAGTCCCCCTTGTCGTAGATGCAGCAGAGAAAATGAAAAGTGGCTTCCCTCCCTCTGTGCTGTGGCTCCTTCCCTCTGCCATATTCCTTTCTATATTTGTCCTTCCCCACTGAGATGTGTTACTGTTATCATTTGAACAACTCTTAACAGTAGCAGCCTTTATTGACCACTTATTATGTGAAAGTTACTGTCTAGTTCCCTTATATTACTTCTGGTCTCATGACAGTCCTGCCTGGTAGGTTCCATTGTCCCATTTTACACATGAGGAAACTGAAGTTCACAGGAGTTAGACTGGCCCAAGCTAACAAAGCCACCAAGCTAGGATTTGATGCCACGATTCTTCGAGTCTCCTGCTGTGTTGTCCTGAGGGGGGCCCTGGCAGCTGGAGGGACTTAAGAGAGATCCTGGGAGTAACTCTTTATAAAGGGAAGTTGTTAGGTAACCTTATGACTCCTAGAAGGAGTGGATTTTCAGCTTTGTTGGTGAGATGAGCGTGATCATAAAGAAACTGAAGACTGTGGCTAGTGGGGTGGGGGTGGCCGGGCTTCCTCAGTGCCCGCGGCCCGTGGCCCGTTTCCAGTCCTGCCGCCTCTGATGGGCTGTCTTCCTCTCTGCAGGATCTCTGTCTGCCCTGGTCTACCAGCACTCCATCATCCCACTGGCTCTGCCCTGTAAGCTGGTCATTCCAAACCGAGGTAGGAACCTGACACTCCTTGCTCTCCCAGCGCACCCTTGAGCTGGCCTCCTGCATATCTCGGCCCTGCCAGCTGCTCCAGAACCTTGGCCGGGGTTGGAGAACATGGGTTATTTTGCCAATCTGGGGAAACTCAAAACCACCCCCCCCACACACACACTTTTTTTTTTCTATTAAAAAAAGAAGGAAAAGTTTATTAAAAGCTTCACTCCAGGAGCATACAGAATTAACTTGCCAGATTGTTCTGGGAAATTCTCTGGAGGCTTAAAGAAATTCAGGCTGAACCCCTCAGAAGAAGCCTCATCTCGGAGGAGGCGCTAGGAAGAGGAGACAGTCATGGGGAGGACCAGTGTCTGGAGGATAGGATGGGCGTCAGTGCAGGGCCCAGGGGAGGAGGAGAGGAAGGCGGATTTAGGTCATGGGGAGCCTCCCAACTGGGAGGCTGGTCTGAATGAAGAGGACAGAGCATACTCAAGGGATCTCTTAGAGGCAAAGTGGCTCGGCTCCGCATGGCGTGGGAAGGAAAGGGGAGGGTAAGATGTCCCTGGAGTCTCTAGTGTGCGTGGCTGAGATGGTGTTCCCTGACTGAGGGGACACTGAGCTGATGGGGAAGGGCAGACCCCCTTTTGGTTGTGGGAAGTTCTAATGGAACCCAAGCTCCTCAGGACATAGAGGGTGAGAAATTGAGTGAGACACTGGGGAGGAGGTTTCCGCTTCTCTCAGAGGGGTGTCTCAGCCTCGGAGGGTGCTAGATGGGCCCCTGAAACTCTTCATAGCACAGGCTTCTATTCCCCAGCCCCCAAGTACACAGGGCCCTCGGAGGGGACTATGCTTGGCTCTGAACTTGAAGTCTAGACACTGGGAACTGAGGCGTCTTCTCCCTACCTCCTCTGTTCAACAATAGGATATTCAGAAGTGCCTCTGAGACTTTCTTCCAAGTCTTTCTTAGAGCCCCTTAGGGCTCACACAGAAAAACTCCAATATTATTTGACAATTTCGATGTATCCAATTCAATTCATTGAATTAATGATAATTGACCACCCTTATTAGCTTAAAAGTTCAAATACAGCTTAAATAGCATTAGTATCCACACATTGTAGACACTAATTAAATTATAGTTCTATGGAATTTATCAAAGTAATTGAGCAATTATAAAACTGTTTGATATTTACGTTGTATAAACCAATGGTTCTCAAAATGCGGTCCCTAGACCAGCAGTATCAGCGCCCCTGGGAACTTGTTAAGAATGCAAATATTCTCAAGCCCCAGTACCTAGAAACTCTGGGTTGGGGCGCATTAATCTGTGTTTTAACAAGCCTGCCCACCGAAGTCAGAGAAACACTGGTGTAAACAATACTCAATTCTTATTCATATTGTAATTACAGTAATGCTGCATTAATGGTGGAATAAGTGAGGGCATTTGTTGGTGTACACAGACACATCAATGCAAAGCAAGAACACCACCAATCGCCACTTGAAGACTTCCTTGACGCCATGCACTGGGCTTGCACTGTACATGGACCGTCTCAAAAACCCAATGAAATGGCTTCTATCATCAGCATCTCTGTTTTGTAGATACTTGGCACTTGCTGGGCTGAGGGTCTGAACCCAGCTCTGTTGGACTCCAGAGCTCCCAACCAGTGTGCTGAATACTTAGAGCAATTATTGAGCATTCCAACAGGACCCGCACGTGCTGACTGCCAGGGCCTGATATGAGAAGCATATCCATTGCACAAAGTATTTTCAGAGCGCGCCTCCAGCCCAGCCAGACTTGTGCTTCTTTCCAGCTCTAGAGTTTTAATTACCG